GGGAGGAAAAGAGCCAGAGAGAATTAGCAACTTTCTGAGATTTTTCAAGATAGGCTAGCACTCAAAAATGAGCCTTTCTACTTGATGTGCTAAGAAGACTAGACAGGTGTGATTGAAATGAGAAAGACTGATACTACGTGATTTCATTAAACCTAATACCAATGTGCAACAAATAAAATCATTTTAACTCATCAGCAGTTAGTATCTCACTAACTGGGGGAAACAGACAACCATCTGAAATCTAGGATCATGTTTACCTCAAATTTTCTCCTAATTATCGAGACACTCAAAAAAATTTAATTTATAGACATGAGGGAGTCTTTGTTGATTCTGTTCACATGTGTTATTGTTTATGTTCGTGCCTTTGAAAGTATGGCCTTTGAAAGATAATACCTTTACAGTGGAAAAATCTGGAGGATGCCATCTTAGCCATGATCAAGGTTAACATCACCAATATTGGGACAAACTAACATATTTGCTGTTACGGCGTCTTGAAGAGGACATGGTAACTCTGAGATTCCTGCCCCATGACTTGAATTACAAGGCAACACCAGAGCAAGCAAAACTGAGGAAACTGTGCAAGATAGCTGACAAGGTCAAGAAAGAAAAAGTAGACTGAAGAACTATTTCAGATGAACAAGGTGATTAAATAACTAAACGGACTGAGTAAGCTTGGATCGAGGGCCAGGAAAATAATTAGTTATAAAAGATTCCATTGGAATAATGGGTTAAATCTGTATAGGAACTGTACTTTAGATAATAGTAGTATGCCAATGTTACATTTTTTTATTCTTTGATCATTGTACTGTGATTATGTAAGAGAATGTCCTTGTTCTTAGGAAAAGCACTGATTTATTTCAGGATAAAGGGGCATGATATCTCTGTAGTCAACTCTGAAATTGTTTTGAAAAATATTATATACAAGTGTAGCTGTGTATGTGTATGCGTACGCATGTGCATGTGTGTGTTTGGATAGGTAGATTGATAAAGAATGATAAAACCCATGAGCAAACTGTTGACTCTAGGTAAAGGATTTCTTTTAGGGACTTTCTTGTGTAATTCTTTGCAACTTCTCAGTTAAGTCTGAAATTATTATAAAATAAGAAGTTACAAAATAAAAAGTGGCTTCTGGTTCCTATAGACTAAGCCAGGCTTTGGAGTAGTCCAGGATACAGCTGAGACTTGTTTTTAAGAGCTTAAAGTTTCCTAAATTGATTCCCTTAACATACTTCACTTTTCAAAAGGCAACTTAAGAAAATCATTACTACTGTAAATAAAACGTTAATATAATTTTCAATTAAAATAAATGTAACTTTTTAAAAAGCTATTGAACTATTATAATAAAGACTGTTGCCTGCAAAAATAAAACTTTTGAACCCAAGACCTTCCCTTTCTTTGTTAAAAAGAAAAGAGAGGAACCAGCAGTTAGCGTAATGGCTATGTCACTGGACTCCCATGTAGTCGACCGCGGTTCGCGTCCCAGACCCTGTGGCTTAAACTCACGCCAGGTGCGTATGCGTGCGTGCCCAAGATCCCGAGAGGAGGACGGAGGAGAAGGGGTTGTGGCATGGCCATTCTCCCTGGGGGGGTGATTTCTCGCTTTCTGTTTCTCTCTCTCTCTCTGTCTGGCAAGTGCACAGTACCCTATAGCAAAAAAAAGAAGAAAGAAAGAAAGAAAGAAAGAAAGAAAGAAAGAAAGAAAGAGAGAGAGAGAGAGAGAGAGAGAGAGAGAGAATGGGGAGATGAAAGATGGCATTAGTTAGGATCAGGGTGGTGACAGCGGAGGGAAGGAAGATGCATCTGAGAAGGATTCCCGAGGCAGAGTAAACAGGAGGGAGGAAAAGAGCCAGAGAGAATTAGCAACTTTCTGAGATTTTTCAAGATAGGCTAGCACTCAAAAATGAGCCTTTCTACTTGATGTGCTAAGAAGACTAGACAGGTGTGATTGAAATGAGAAAGACTGATACTACGTGATTTCATTAAACCTAATACCAATGTGCAACAAATAAAATCATTTTAACTCATCAGCAGTTAGTATCTCACTAACTGGGGGAAACAGACAACCATCTGAAATCTAGGATCATGTTTACCTCAAATTTTCTCCTAATTATCGAGACACTCAAAAAAATTTAATTTATAGACATGAGGGAGTCTTTGTTGATTCTGTTCACATGTGTTATTGTTTATGTTCGTGCCTTTGAAAGTATGGCCTTTGAAAGATAATACCTTTACAGTGGAAAAATCTGGAGGATGCCATCTTAGCCATGATCAAGGTTAACATCACCAATATTGGGACAAACTAACATATTTGCTGTTACGGCGTCTTGAAGAGGACATGGTAACTCTGAGATTCCTGCCCCATGACTTGAATTACAAGGCAACACCAGAGCAAGCAAAACTGAGGAAACTGTGCAAGATAGCTGACAAGGTCAAGAAAGAAAAAGTAGACTGAAGAACTATTTCAGATGAACAAGGTGATTAAATAACTAAACGGACTGAGTAAGCTTGGATCGAGGGCCAGGAAAATAATTAGTTATAAAAGATTCCATTGGAATAATGGGTTAAATCTGTATAGGAACTGTACTTTAGATAATAGTAGTATGCCAATGTTACATTTTTTTATTCTTTGATCATTGTACTGTGATTATGTAAGAGAATGTCCTTGTTCTTAGGAAAAGCACTGATTTATTTCAGGATAAAGGGGCATGATATCTCTGTAGTCAACTCTGAAATTGTTTTGAAAAATATTATATACAAGTGTAGCTGTGTATGTGTATGCGTACGCATGTGCATGTGTGTGTTTGGATAGGTAGATTGATAAAGAATGATAAAACCCATGAGCAAACTGTTGACTCTAGGTAAAGGATTTCTTTTAGGGACTTTCTTGTGTAATTCTTTGCAACTTCTCAGTTAAGTCTGAAATTATTATAAAATAAGAAGTTACAAAATAAAAAGTGGCTTCTGGTTCCTATAGACTAAGCCAGGCTTTGGAGTAGTCCAGGATACAGATGACGATTGTAGAACTAGTTGGCTTCACTTTTGTTAAGAGTGCCTCAATTCCACTCCCTGCTACCCCCAGTCTTGTCTTCATCCTTCTCTCAGTATCAGACAAAAAGCCCCCAACTTCCTGTTTCCAGGTGTTCCTGTTCTACCTAGCTGGTTCTTTTCTTCCTCCTTCAGAAGGAGGATTTCCCCAGTTCTTTAACTAAACTTACATGGATTGTCCTTTTACTGTTTAAAAGAAAGAATACCAAGTCTACTTTTGGCAGTTTCTGACTTGGTCAAAGGAGTTTAGGCCAAGTGCTCCCACATAAGCGGTTAGAGAGCTTCCTTCGGAGTGACTACCTCCCGTCACATCCAGAACCTTATTGTCAATATGGAGCGCAGATGCTTGGAGGTGAGGTCCAATGTTCCCAGGGACCATGTCCATAGCAGTCATCAGCTCTCTCCTCTCCTCTGCTCGAGAGCCTTTACTTGGGATGCCCAAGCACTCTGACCTCTATTCACAGCATCTAAAACCCTAACGATTTCTTCCAA